CAACGTTGCAATTTTACAATGATTTGCACGATACCCAACTGCATGGAATTATTTTCACAGTAATTTTACGTTTTCTTCCTAGTGATAGCGAATACACTTACAATAGGTGGTCTAAATCATAAAATTCAAGGATTTTGACGAGTAACTCCCTGGTACGAAAACGCAGCCCGAACTGCGGCCCCCAAAGTTGTTGCTTATAAAAACCAGTTTTTTTTAGCAAAAGCGAAAATCAGCCCGTTCATGCAAAAAACAGTGGAAGTATAATAACGTTGGAAAATAAGCCTTTTTGTAGAATTTTCGGATGCATATGCTTCCGTATAATGTGCAATATAATGTATGGTGGTTACCAAGACGCCCCAATTTCGAATAGGTGTTCCGACACGGTTTCACGAGAATTGCTATTTGTTTCTTCCGTTTATACATATATTGCATGAGTTATCTTGGACTAAGCCAACCAGATTGTCGCTTGATTTTGCCGACTGGGAGGTCACAGGATTAAGATATTTCGTAGGCTCGCATGCGAATGTGCCAGTCAGTGACTAATAAATTAAAATGGAATTGGCCGGTGTACCCTAAAACGTTCGATTTTTTGTAAACTAAGCGAAAGTTCTTTCCGCCAAATTTTTGCATAAGTATTTTTGGATTTCGATTATGGCGAGGTTAAGATGTTTCTTGTTATGGTAATTAAGACTTTACGATTTTCACTGGCTTCAGTCGGTTGCACATTGATACGGATTATATTCTATATGCTTACCATAACCTTCAGACTAAGATATTTCTTAAAAGCATTTACCTAAATATGAAGTTTTAAAACATTCTTTCTTATGCAGCTGTTTGTTTGAGTCATGGTTTTAGAATCACCCGAACATGTGAACTCATTCCCACAGCTAAAGTTGAGACTGAAGGTGCCTAGCGCTAATTTAAAAGCTTTATATAACAAATTACCTCTTGAAAAAGCACTTAAATTAGATATTTCGTCATCGAATGTCTGTGTACTCTACTATTTTTTAAGATTAACTCAAGATCAGAATGGGATATTTTTGGTCAATTTGTGGGATACGATGTGGTCCAGCCAGATAATAGGCGATAGAACGTATCCC